GTGTTCTTCAAACAAAACCTGGACTTGTGAAATATCATGTTATAGTCAATAATTACACTAAATTGCTGGGGTAATTTTTGTGGTGCATGGCTAAGCTTATGCATTCATTCTTCAGTTCTCACTGGTGAAAGACTAATGACAGACTGTGATAGAAACTTCAGATTCTCTTTTGAATCTCAAGATGCAGCAGGCTAGACTGTTTCAGAACACGTACTGTATACCTCTCCGAGTAAATATGGTTTGATTTGACCTTAAAAATTAAACTTCATATTTCCTACTGTTGCTCCATTCCCCTAGAAGATTTTAAATTTACTAATCTTCATCAGGAAAGTGTAGTAAAAAAAAAAAGTAGACTTATACTGGCAATAGTTTTAACACAGACTTTTTTACTGAACTCATTCGGTACTTTCTGATTTTGAGAAACAACTGAATTGGTCTTATTTTGTTTGTTGGTATGGGGTGGGGTTTTTTGTCAAAAACACAATACTGCCAGAAAAATGAAGCTTGCTTGCATTTCAGTTGTCAATCTTAAAATGCGATACACCCTCCTTTCAATTAATAAATTTAACAATAATCGTAACTGATCTGCATACAAACCCATAACTGGTCTTTTTGTGGAAGTTTGAGACTTGAACTGAAAGTAGCAATTTAAACATTAAATATATAGCAGTGAATTGAGTATAAGACCACTTCTAGATTTTGTCTGATACTGAAACAGTCTTTATACCAAAATTTTACAGTTCATGCCATCTGAAGTAAACAGGATCAATTACAGTGCATAAAATAAAGTATGTAAGCATATTTTTGCAGATCAGGTCTATAAGGATATTTTCCACTAGATAATACATTTAGACAACTAGACCTAAAGGTAACAAGTGATTTGCTTCTCTTTTCTATTTATTGCAAGGGAATACTGCATGAGGTTTTCCCTAGCTACTGTACAGCAGACATTTGGCTCATGACAAGTTTAACGATACTAGTACATGCAATCAACAGTAAAGAAAAACAAAAAATACACAGAAGTTAATTCAGTATAAAGATTACTAATATACTGAATGCCCATATTTTTCTTTATTTTATATGCAGTTAGAGTACATAAAGCGTCACATAAGCTAGTAAAGGAGTGCATAGGCAGTTAGATTAGATGATCATTGAAGGTCCCTTCCAATTGAAATATTCTATTCTATTCCATAATTCATATGGAACTACTCACTTCCCAGTTTGTTTTACTGCTGGAATGCAGTTGAATTCATGCTCCATTTCACCTGCTAGAAACACAGAATGTTGTCTGACTACCTAGCTAAATATTTTAAAAAAATTAAAATAATCCCCACTTAGTTGTTGACATTGAAGATCTCAACTATTTCATTTGAAAACACTGACTAGACTGAAATTCACTGAATTAATTATCAGATTTTTGAATTATTTAAAAATTGTTTTTATTAAGTTGCTGTTCTTGCTTTCTATCTGCAAATTAATTAAAAAAAAACACCTCAGGCAGTCATATAAAATGTAACCATCTTTCAGGACTTGTCTTCATAGAACAGCAGGCACTAAAGTTAACTGCAGAATAAGAAAAATCTGTAGTTCCACATCGCGAATAGAAAGAAAAGGCCAAAACATAGCCTTTAGGAACACTTTCATTACTTAAAAATGAGATTAAGAAGCAGAGGAGATTAATATACTCCCATATTGATCTTATTTTATTCAGATACTAGTTTCCTGCTATTTTACAATTTATTTTCAATATTATTTTCTGTTCAGAAACTAACTCCTACTCCTATGAGTCAGCTGGCTTGGCTTCTCCCAGATCAATGGATTCTGAAAATTGACTTTTCCTATCTTTTAACAATTCTTATCTTCCACTCCTTTCACCAAAGGTGAAGAATTGTCAACAAATTCTCCACTAGCTTTAGACTTTGGCTTGAATACAGAGCAAGTTACATTTGTTCTTGTCTTATGTTGGGCATTTTAGCATGATGATATTGTTCCATTACTTCCCATTTCCTACTCTTAATTTTAATCTTACTAACCTCTCATTTTTAGTATTAAAAAAGAAAAGGCATTGAAGTTTGCAAGTTGGTGCATGAGAAAATATGAACAAAGAGACTATGAATCACTTTGTTTCACAGATACTGAATGTGACTCATTTGCAGGTAACGATGTCAAACATATTATATGTAAAACTACTTAGTTGAACTCTGAGTTATTTATCTGCGAAAGGCTTTGAAATATAATGGATCTATAAACACCCTCAGTATGGAAAATTTTTATGCATGTAACATTAAATACTTTAGATAAGACTTTTATCAAAGGCAGGACACTTAGTTTCCTCAGCTCTAAAGAATTACCATTGAAAGATTACCGATCAGGAAGGAAAAGGGTTGAAAAGTGCTGTGTAAGGACAAAGGAACATCAACTGCTTGTTTCTTGCTAAGTAACTTTCTACTAATTTAAATAATCCCATGCATACGTCCCATGTATGAGGTGACCATTAAACTGTACACAGGTTGCTGATACAATGGATTCATGGTTGGTAAGTCTCTGGACACTTAAATCATATACTGTCTTGGCTCTCAAAAGTAGCCACTATTTTTGCACTAGCATAGCAAGAATATAACTGAAGTCAGTTTTGGAACTGCAACGGGAGATTTCTATGGTTTACTTTCAATGAATATGTTATATTGACCTAAATGATCTCTACAGATAATTATAAAATCAATCTATTTTTTAAAAGACTCATTCACAATCAATTCTTGCTACCTCAAAGTAAGTATTTACTATTATATATAGTACAGTATACTGCTGGACTACATTTATAATATACTGCAAAACTTGCGGGATTGCCAGATCCAACTTTTATAAACTGCTCTAGAAATTCTTCTAAGAATCCAAGCACAAATACAAATGCTCATTAATATTTTAAAATATTTGTAGCAAACTCATAATTGACCAAATATGCAATTGATTTTCTTAAACTGATATCACAACTAGTATACTTTTACTAAAAGAAAGCTTTAATGGAACAAATGACTAAGCAAGAAGTCATTACTTAGAAGCTACTTTGAAATCTGGTACATAACTACATTTACCATGAGGGATGAAACGTACTTTGTGCTTTTACAAAGCAAGCTGGATAAGAATCTGTTTATGAGACTTTTCCTGAATAACTTAACCACTGCTAATGAAGTACAAATGCTGTTTTGCCCATGTCCCATGGTTTGACAGATTCTACAAACATATTTTCAAAACAATGATGAAACATATACGGTGTACATTACCTTTGTGAGTGTGTAATTGGGACTCCCCTTATCACTCAAAGAGAGTTCTTTCTAGGAATGCCTTCCATAAGCTGCTACTTTTTCGTATAGTCCATAAAGTATATTTATTACTCTGACAGGTGCGTGGGCTTTGACCAAGGTCTGCGTCGTATGTAATCATATAAAAGCTATTATGCCAAACATCCGCTCTCAGCTTAAACACAGACAGACTTCATAAATCTTGTGCCAGAAAAAGCTAGCTGTCCTAACGAATGACTTTTTTTTTACATGAATGGAGATATGTGACAATGGATCAATACGGAAAAAAAGTTGAGTGAAATACTTCGATATTCAATAACTCTGTGAAATGAATGGGAATGGTGCTCCTACTAGATAAACCAAAGAGGATTTTGTTTCTTTGAAGGCTATATTTTCACTGTTTCACTGATTTGAGAAAACTTCACAAGGACAAGTCAGATTAACAGTATTCAGACAATGGAATAATGGCAATGAACTCCAACTGTGTGTGTAGGTGTCCAACTGTGTGTGTAGGCGGAAAGAAAACAGAAGAAAGTCTCCATTCCTGACAAAAATGGACAGATGAGTTGCTACTGAAGTGTCTGCAGGAAATTACTGTCAATTCAATATGGCATGATCTAGCTGTCAACAGTGAGGACTCCACATTAGATGGACTAGATGATCTGCATTAGTGGTCCTGTTGACCAATTTATTTATGATACAAGCTATTTTAATAGCAGACCTATTTTCACTTTCCCAGAGTGTATCCTTTGTAAATGATCAACTTCAGATATAAACAAGCTCAAACGTCCTTATGGATCTTATTTTGCCCTGTGTGTCTGTTTAAATGTCTTTGCCAATAAGACCCGTACTGCTAAATGTAAACTTCTCCACACATAGCATAATGAAAGAGAGCTCATCCAATACTCATCTTAATTAATAGTAGACTGAAACTTCTGAATTTAAATCTTATTTCCCACAATACTATTCAGCCCATAAAAAAGAGAACAGAAGAACACATGAAAGAGGCTTTTTTAAATTTGTTGTTGTTGTTTTAATAAAAAGCCTCACAGGGGAAAGTGTGTTAATTTTTTCTACTTCTACTTATAGTGAATCAAACTGTTTTTTAACTTACATTTTACTGTTTATACACAAGCACTGAACTGTAAGTATATAGGAGCAGCAGAATACCTGAAATAAGTTACAGAATATTACAACATTTCATAACAAGACCAGTGCACTGGCTATAAATCATGCTCAACAGAATACCAACACATTTTCAAGCTGTCATATAAAATGGTTGAGAAGAAAAGTCAATGACCTTTGTGTGCATACAAACTGCACAATAAAGTTCATCTGTGAAAATAAAATAGCATCTGTTACTGATACTGAAACGCTTTCAATGAGCTTAACTCAGAGAACAATTTGAATTTGATAAATTGCATTTATGCCTCATCTTTAAGTCACTGTAATAAGAAATACTGTAAACTTTAACCAATGTATTAATTTCTGCTTTTTGGCTTGTGATGAATGTAAAATTCTATAAATATATGTGAAGAAATATATCATAGTAACAAATTGTTTGAAAAAAAGGAGTGACAAATCTGAAGACGTAACTCCTGATTCTGTTTTCTTGTGCGTTTTAAGACAGGTTTCAGGATTAATAAACTTCATCAATTTCTCACTGCATGAAGCGAAACCCATTAGCCACTGTTAACTCACCCTTTTCTGTTCTTTAATATATTCCATCAGTTCCTCTCTTGTCCTTTTCACTGCTTCTTCTATTGCCTTTTCACTTCGTTTTTGCTCCTCCATTAATGCTTCCTTGACAATCTCCTTTTTAAAAGGAAAACATGTAAGTGTAAATATTAGAAGTATTTCACAAATGTAATACAGGTCATCCCTTTCCTTCCTACTAAAATTTTGCCATGACCATAATACTTTCTCAATGACAGTTATCCTAAATGTATGCAACATCTTCACAAAAATGTATAAATTCAGTTCTAAAGGGCCTAACAAAGATTGAAATATTCACTTTACAGCTGTGTTAATAGATATATAATATTTCCTGAGAGCACAAGAAAATGAAGCAATATAGGCATTTCATTCCAACAGAAGCAGGGATGTATGAGTTGCTGTTAATTGAACAGAAGAGAACAGATTTCAGTTGGAAGGGGCCTACAACGATTATCTGCCTGAGCACTTCAGGGCTGACCAATAATAAAGTATATTATTAAGGGCACTGCCCAAACACCTCTTAAACACTGACAGGCTTGGGGCATTGAACACCTCTGTAGGAAGCCTGTTCCAGTGTCTGACCACTCAGTAAACAAATGTTTCACAATGTCAAGTCTGAACCTCCCTTGATGCAGCTTTGACCATTCCCACACATCCTATCACTGGATCCCAGGGAGCAGAGATCAGCACCTCCCTCTCCACTTCTCCTCCTCAAGAAGCTGTGGAGAGCAATGAGGTCACCTCTCAGCCTCCTTTTCTCCATATTGCATGACTGTTCAGAACTTAAATCAGGGCTGTTCTAACACCACAGTAAGCAGAATTCTAATGACAATAAATTTGTTTCCAAACCTTGGGAATGGCCACGGACATTCTGTACGCAGCAGTAAAAAGCAGCAATGGAAACTCACATAACTCCCAAATTAGCAATACCCTCTATCAAATCTGATTCAGTACTAGATATGTATCACAGTAGAGAAAGCCAGGAACCAAAACACCTCTGTCACCTCCAGTACAACTTATCCGTGTAAGTTTTCAGCTCAGGAAACAACTTCCTGGACCAAAGTCACCATCCTAAAACTTAAGTCCCAGCATCCCAAAGCCTCTCTTGGAATAAGCAATAACATTATTTAGCCAAGTGTTTTGTTTCCAAAATTCAGGAAGATGAAGTAACAAAGATAAGATTCCCGAAAACGAACCATACGAAAACGTAACATTTTCAGAAAACTACGAAGCATCCAGTAAAAACAGTCACACAATGATAACTGATTCAGAGGGCAGACTGAAAGGGAGACCAAGAGTGTCTCAGAAATCAGGCAGCAGCCTTTGCAATTCCTATGTTTTTGTGCTAGATATTCAAAATGGGAAGTAGCAGAAACACCAGTGGTGCACCTGCAGAACGAAGCAGGGATCTGACACACACTTCTATTAGCAGTATCACCAAGCTTACTTAGTGCACTCACATTTAGCATAAACAGTAAGCCGTAATATGAATCTCATAGGATGAAATTTATTTTTCATTTTAAAGAATAAAAATATAGCATATTTGTATTTTTACTAGCTATTCAGAAATATTATTTCTTCAGGAAAAAAAAAAGTCTTTTTTTGTTGTTTTATTTTTGGGTTTTGAGTTGGTTTGGTTTGTTTTTTTTTCAAGAAAAAAAAGCATGAAAATTAGAGGGAAAAAACCTGATAATTATTGCAATACTCATAGAAATTATAAACAATGTTGCTAGATTTTTTTTTTCAGTATGGGCCAAAATTCACCTGCTCTGTTACTGCATCACAACCAGGCACCACAGAGATAGCTGAACTGAGGATCCAGTGCATAACAAAATAAATGGGTAAGTGAAACAGATAGTCATTGAGGCCACATTGCAGCTGCTCTGAGGGAGGGTTTGAAGGGCAGCACATAGAAAAGAGAACCTCAATTTCCCTCTAAGTGCAGACTTTCACAAAACTCAAAGCAATGCAGCCATGGAAAAAATGGAAAATAAAAAAAAAAAAGGAAATAATAGAAAAAACAATAGTTCAAAAAGGAACACATGAGGACTTCTAGTGTATTTATTCACATATATTTTTTTTTTTTATCAAAACTTTTTGAAAACGAAAAGTAAACCTACATGGACTATCTTCCTTATTACTGTTGGCTGATTAGACATAACACACTATTACTAGCAGGTGCTGAAAAGATTTATTTATAGGTTTGTTTGACTGTAGAGTAATAGACATTTTATGATACGTATTTACAATTTGGATTTGTGGAAGTGGGGAAGGCTGGTCTATTCTTTTTTTCCCTCTACTGGTCAAGTAACAAAGATCTAAACAGAGTTCAAACTCTTTATTTTGCTATATGCTGCACTATCAGATATGATCCATCATCAACTAAACATTAAATCTGAATAATGTCTACTAAGCAACACAGTTTGTACACAGAAAGTAAAACTAAAAAACATTTTTCACAACTTCAGTAAGAAAAAAGGTAAAAATCAAGGATAGCTCAATTGATTATTTTAGATTTAATTATTCACAGGCTTTCAGGCTGTAGTCAGAATGACTGAGTTTACGTCGTATATACATTGTCAGGCTTAGAAGAAATCAATTACTGTCCTGCAGTACTCAAAGCATTCAATTTAAAGTATTCAGTTCAAGCACCGTACTTATTTATATGGGAATAATGACTGACATAAGGAGAAATACATAACTTTAAAAATGTTTGTGAGATATAATGACAACCATTTTATTGCTTTTTATTGTTTATTGGGTTAAAAACATTTGTCAACCTATAGTGACACCTGCTTTAATTACAGAATCTCAGAATGCTAACCTATGCATTCTTGGTGCTATAAATTCTGTCTTCTTTGCAGAAAGTATTTTTGTAGGAACTCTATATTGAATGGATTCAACTCTGGAGAACATGTAGAATTCTAAGGTTTTGGAAGTAGCAGATATTTATGAAGTTACATAATTAATCTGTACATATAAGAGTGGCATTTTACCGCATGCTATTAGTGTACAAAATGAAGAATACTACCCGCCACTGAATCGGACCAACCTTCTTTTTTTTTAAAAAAAAAGACTCTTCAGTGGAAGTGTTTCAACTGAAAAAGAAAGTGTTATTTCCTATCTTTAGCTATTTACTCCTTTTCAGCCAAAACTGAATAGTTTCTACAAAACTATACTTTTGCTACCTTTGTAACAGAAATAGTCTAAACTCCTAAATTTGAAATGCTCAATTATGTAGTCTCCACTGTTTTGGAATATAGCAAGTATGAAAACCATAGTTGTAAAAAGTGATAATATTTTTTTCTATTTTAATTCGATTTACCAAATAAAAATCCTGACAAAGGTGTCTCTCACTATAGAACTCAGGCAATACTAACAGCAAAAGTAGCAGAAAGTAACATATTACAAAAATACCCTGGTTTTGTAATTATGTTCTCATGCCAGTTTAATTTGTCAAAAGGTCCCAAAACACTGTCTTGTATTAGAATGGAAAAAAATCCCGTCATTTAACCAGTTAAAGCCTTGAAAGTAAATTACAGAACTGATAAGGTGCTATATCTTAATATGTAGAAAGTTTTACATCAGTAAAATACTTACAATCAATTAAAGTATATTAACTTTCCTTGATATCATGCTAAAAATACAATTAAATTCTACAAGTCTATTAAAAAACCCACAAAAACCCAGAAACCACTAGCAATACTTTTATGGAAGACTATTTTATTACACCAAGATTAAAATAGAAAAAATAAAATTGGAAAGAATTCTTTTCCATTTACAATGGCAAGTTCCCAAAATTAAGACCAGTATTAATTCTCTGAAGAATATACAGTTACAGGTAACAGTGAAAGCAAAGTTGTACAACATCCTGTTGAGGTAATAGGCAAAGCATACCATTACTATGCTATTTTTTACTTTCTTATCAATACTTATTTCAAGATCAACAAGTTGAAAAAAAATTATATACTAACATTGTATACCTTTATTTCTTCTACCACAAGGAATAAAACATTACTGATTATTTTTATACTATTAAATAAAGAAGTTGCCTTAACTTCTTTCTTACTTTTTTGTTTTTGTCACACTCATGACACTTACAAAGTAGGAGTTTTGTACTAAGGAAATCCAAGGGTCCTCTTAGCTTCCCTAGAATTTCAAACAAATGGAAGATTTAAGAATTCAGCCAAGTCCCTCATTGTTTTTCAATGCCTCACACTACAGCATAAATGTTAAGTTTTTCTATACATTCCCAGCTTCCAGAAGTTCAGAAAAATTTGAATACTCCTGAATCAGTGGATATTCCAAAATCTCAATATTTCAAAAAGCAAAGAGCTGTTCCAAAAGGTACTGGGAATAGCTAGTATGCTGAATAACTACTCCCATTTCTTTAATTCCTGCGCATTCTTCAGTTTTATACAGATTTCCTAATTACACAGTGGATGATTAAAAACTTGAGTGAGAAGAAGTGACACATCACATACTAAGTTTAATTTTAAGTGAACATAGTAAATGGAGCTTTATTTTAGTAAAGCCTTTTACACTATTTCCTACAGCATTCTTCTGGAGAAACTGGCTGCTCATGGCTTGGATGGGTGTACTCTTCACTGGGTAAAAAACTGGCTGGATGGCTGGGCCCAAAGAGTTGTGGTGAATGGCGTTAAATCCAGTTGGTGGCTGGTTGGCAGGTGGTGTTCCCCAGGGCTCAGTATTGGGACTAGTTTTGTTTAGTATCTTTATCAATGATCTGGATGAGAGGAAAGAGGGCACCCTCAGCAAGTTTGCAGATGATACCAAGTAGGGCAGGAGTGTTGGATCTGCTTGAGGGTAGAAAGGCTCTACAGAGGCAGTGTCCCAAAACCTGGGGTTCATTCACCTGGTGTGCAATATGCCAATCCACACACAGAGTAGAGGTGTTTTTATTATATATATATAAAAAAACATACACGGGTGCATGTTCCAAGACAGCACACTGGAGTTCCAAATTGATGGTTATTTATAGACAAAACATTAACATAGTCATCTTTCTGATACATATGCATGGTTATTCTGTTAAATGATTGGTTAGGATTTCTTTGCATAGAATGCAAATTAGTATA